TTAATTCTGGAACACTAAACTCCACAAACATGATGTAATTACAAGGAAGTGTGAGACCGATTCCATAAGCCCCTGGTGGAAATCTATGCCGTCAATTCAGATTTGTGCCTCATACCTTCAGTCACCCCAGGCATCACGGCCAACACAGCACTGTTGAAAATGAAGAGAAAAGGCCACGGGAACGTTGGACAAGGTAGGAACACTTCTGCACATGACCGAGTTCCCAGAGTGGAGAACGGTTTCACGATACAAAATAGCCCACAACCTGAAGCACACTGCCAACACCTGACTCTGGAGTGGGTCTTCAGAGGACGAGGCCTGACCTGGAACTCTAGGTCACTAGCAGCAACATTCTTACCTTGTCCAGTGCCCTGGGACTTCTTCCTGCACTTGCTTATCTGTACATGGAAACACCCAAACACACAGCTTCACTGGGCCCGCCCTCGGGGCTTCTGTCCTTCACAGATCACCTGTGCAAGGGTTGGGTCCCCCACCCATCCTAGTAGCAGCAAGATGGTAGCCACAAGGAAGTCAAGAAATGTCCCTGGAGCCCATCAGCTACAAAGAATGGAAAAACACACTCATGCTAGGGAACAAGCAGACTGTGACAGAGTCCAGATGAGGCAAATCCAAATGGGTCACCTGGCCAAGGACAGCCACCAGAGAAAAGTACATCGTGCAATAAAAAATACTAACTCACAAACATGTTCTTGTGTGCTCTGGTCCGACAATAGCCACACAGGGTCTGCCTGCTGCACCAAAGGACACAATGAAAGGACGTGATTCTTTACATAGATCGTCATCCACACAGACTGGCCACCGACACCTACATGTAACATATGCCCCAACTCCTCATGCACCAGTGGCCAACACCCACCCTCCATCCCAGGAGGTACTCAGCCTCAGTTGTTCAAAGGACCCAAAGTCCCCCCACAGCCCGGATGTAATCCCACTGCAGAAAGCTGAGGGAGTTCCTGCCCCCATTACAGGGATAATGGCAGCAGGAGCTGAATTCTGAGCATCAAAAGCAAGCATCCTGAATGCTCCTTCCCATAAAGATGTGGCTCCCCCAGCGAGAGGATTTCCACTGGGAACCATGGAACTTCTGACACATTAAGGACATAAAGGTTTTCTGTGGATAAACTTGGAGCCTTACCAATACACGCTGCCAATTCTAGGGAAAAAGAATAGACTGAATACGTGCATGTCAACTGGGCAGTACTTGGAATTTCAGACCCTACCACCTAACCATGTTCATTAGCTAATGACTCCCTTCTATGTTCATGAACACTTCCTTTTATCTGCCCTGAGCCAACACTGCTTAAGAATCATGAAGGATCTCTTCGCCGTGGCTGGAGCTCGGGACCCAGTCACCAAGTCCACGCTCCCTTATAGACAGTCCTGAGTAACCCCTTCCCAGCCTACATATGGCCCTCAGCCTCTTAGGTCTGTCTTTGGTGGCTCCTGCTCTCAGGTCCCTTCCTGAATTTCACCCAGAACTACTGAGATGAATGCACAGGAAGAAGCCTGACACACTGAGCTACATCCAGGAGTATCCAGAACACAGGAGCAGGACTTTCCTCAGTTCCTACTTCCAGGTATCTTTCTCAGTTGTATCAACATCTGGAATTAAGGAAGTGTCACTACTGCTTTACTTTTTGGAATGAAGAACAGAGTACTTAAGATAATATATCAAGACCCGATTTTATGTCCCTAAAATAATTTCCAAAGACCACTAAAGAAGAAGGGTTTAATAGGAAATTATCTACTTTGACGGCTCGTGCAGCTGTGCTCACACGGGACCGAGGAGCACTACGGAGGCTTCCAAACAGGCCTTTCCACCTTCGGGGGGCCCTGTCTCAGCCACAAGACTCAGTGCTGCCTCTGAGGTTGCTTTTTTGACTTTTGAAGGATAAAATATCAGTACACTGAAGAAAAAAAATCAGAAAACACCAGGAGTTCTCATCTGGTATATTTCCTGAAGTTATTTTTTTATACCGTCATCACTAACCTAATGTCTGTGTCTTTCGCTGTCATCACACAGAGTATAAAAAATTTGGTATCCTACTTTTTCAACTAAAAGTCACACAGTGAGCAGGCCTTTGCTCGTCACTATGGAATCTTCACAACCACCACTATGAGTGGCTGCACTGTGCCTGGGTGGTCTGAAGGATACCGCTGCACTAATCCACAGCCCTGGCTTCCACAGTTGGCACTCTTCCTCAGAGGAGACCCAGGAGTAGAAGGAAAACTACCAGCCCCTTTAAAGCTCTTGATACATTTCACTAAATTGCTTTCCAAAAGGGCCACACAATTTACCATGCCGCCACTTACCATGCCACCACTTTTTTAGTCATATCCATGTTCTTTGTTTATATTACTAGCTTTTAAGAAAGTTTATTTGTTTTAATGTGAATTATCAAAATTGTTTGATTGTTATATGAAAACGTTCCCAAGTATGGACCTGGGATCCCCAGTGTCAGCATCTCCTGGGGGCTGGTTAGAAACGGCAGACTCTCAGGCCCCACCCCAGACCTGCTGAGTCAGAATCTTTATGTTCACAAGATCCCCAGGTGATGCATCTGCATATTAAAGTTTGAGAAGCACGTGGAGGGGAAATCTCCAGGATCTTCATGGAGTTTAGGGGTTTGGGGGAGTGGCCCACATCCACCACGGAGGGCACCAAAGATATCTTTATACACCAACCACAGGGAAACAGGGTTGAAGTTACACAGTGTAAACTCAGAAAAATGAAAAATAAATAACATAGATAAAAATCCCCACATTTCCAGACTTTCTGACACTGAGGAACAAAGAAATTTGCCTTTCCAGTGTCATATCAACTGCACACAGTCCCCTGTGCCTTTGTCCTATCATTTGGTCCCGTCTGACAGTCCCACGTGGCTGTCTGTGTGGTCAAGCTCCCCCACATTGCCTTTGGTGATTTCCTCTGACTACAACCTCTGAGTGATCTTCTTCCAACATCTGGGCTGATTAACATTATTTTCTTTTAAAATTAAATCTATTTCATCCAAATCTTAAATTTTTAGAGAGAGGTAAGTGCTTGGGAGGGTCTAAGTAGACTTTTCAAAATCATGAAGATACTGCCCAAGACCATTCACTGAGCATTCATCTTTCTATGCTTTTCTCATTTAAGTTTTTAGGTGTGATGCTGTGGATTTCAGGGCCACTCTATCCCCTCCCTGTAATTACAATAGTTGGGAACATGTTCACACATCAAATAGGACTGGCCTTCCAAAACCAGTTAGAAAAATCTATTCAATATTCTTCCCTATTTTTCCCTCAAATGAGATTTTAGAACAGTTTTGTCAGGTTAGTGGGGGGGAAACCCATTGAAAGTTTGGCTGGAATAATGATACACCACTAAGTTAACTTGGGAATAACTATCATTTCAGCTACAATATCTAATCTTTCTTATTCTGGAACACGGTAGTTACTTTCCTAGTTCAAATTTTATTTTTATCACCTCAATCAAGCTGTTACATAGGTTCACACAAGTCACATGTAGGTCTCATGCCTAGCAAGGTTCTTCATTTCTGTTTCACATCTTATTTCAAATGTCTAAAACCCCAGGAGATAATAATGACCCAGGATGCAGGAACCTCTAAACACAGCTTCTGTGGGAGAACCAGAGAACAGCCAGTTCTCAGCTCCATCCCTGTCTCTGGGTCAAGTGGAATAGCATGTTAAATAACAGGCAGTGTGGCCACCCTACAGCCTTTGGAAGTAGGGCTGAGGCCAGGGGTCTGGGTTTTCAAAGCGCTTGAGGGGCCGACCTGACCTGGTAGGGCTAGGTGAACTGGTCCTTTACTCCCAGGAGCTCGCAGCCACAGCCGCTCATATGGGACGGGTCTCCTCACCTGGGGCAAGGTTCTGCCTGAGCAAATGCCTCATCAGAAGCTGGGGGAGCAGGAAACCTGAGAGAGAATGGCAAAATAGGGAAACCCAGCTGAAAACTACCTGGCACAGGTCCAATCGTTTCAGGCCCCCCTAAGATGTCATTTGTCAAGACAAATGCAATTAATATTCCAAATCAGCTAATAGCTACCAAAAGACTTTTTAAAAAATTTTTTAAAGGAAGAAAAGAAAAAAGAAAGCATAAGTGAAATCACACGAGTGATGAACATCAGTCAGGAACTCCCTGGCCCAATTTCTATAGTAATATGCACCAAAAGGCAAGGCAGATCAATGCCCTATGCTATCTAATATCTATCTATCTAACATAATATCTATATTAATGCTCCATAATGCTTCATTAAATGACTGGGGTGGGGTCAGAGAAGAAGGGAAATGGGGGAGGGGGGTGCATGGAGGAATGTGATTGTTCAACAGGCATATATAAACAAATAAAATGACTCAAAACCAGCAAGTGAGGTAAGAACACAAAACAGGCAGATGGAACACAGCCAGATGTTTAAGAAAGACTTGCCAAGGCACTGACCTGTTCTAGGCTATTACTAACTCCTCACCTCTCCTTTCCCACGTCGCTTTGCAGTCCCTCTCACTGGAGACACAGTGGACTCCCTGCCCCTTGACTCAGGCTCAGTCACATGACTTGTTCTGGCCAATGGGATGCCAGCTTGAAATGTGCTGGCTTGAAATGCCCCTGTGCCTCTGCTGTAACAACAAGGAGGGCCTCTGCCCTGGAGAGCCACTGAAGTATCAGCCTGGGCCCCAGAATGAACACATATGGAAGAGACCTGAGTTCAACTTGTAGCAAGGAGCCAACCTGGTTAAACCACTGCTTGAAGAAGAGCCACCCAGCCAAGACAACCCAGATCAGTCAATCTCCAACCAACCCTCAGAAGCATGGGCCAGAATAAATGACTGCTGTTGTAAGACAGTGACCTTGGAGTGTTTGTTATGCAGCCTTATTGTAGCAGTAGCTGACTGATGCAGATGGCACCCCCAAAGGGAATCCACAAGCCATTTAAAGAGAGCTTTCCCTCCAAGTTCATAAAGAAATCAGAGTGACTTACCAGGCTCACCTTTTTTCTTAGAACCAGACTTCTTCTTTGTAGGAGCCTCTTGCTTTGGTGCCTCCTGGCTCTGGACCATATCTGTAGTTTTGCCCTGGAGAGGAACTGACTCTATCTTTTTACCCTGACTGGCAACTGCATCTACCTTTTTGCTCTGGTTGGGGGACCCCTCTGCCTTTTTGCCCTGGTTTGGTATTCCCTCTGCCTTTTTGCCTTGACTGGGACTCTCTTTTTTCCTCTGGTTTGAAACACCCTCTGCCTTTGTGCCCTGATTAGCAACTGCATCGACCTTTTTGCCCTGGTTGGGAGCCCCCTCCCCTTTTTTGCCCTGGTTCTGGGTCCCCTCAGCCTTTTTGCCTTGGTTCTGGGTCCCCTCAGTCTTTTTGCCCTGGTTCTGGGCCCCCTCGGCTTTTTTGCCCTGGTTCTGGGCCCCCTCTGCCTTTTTGCCCTGATTCTGGGCCCCCTCTGCTTTTTTGCCCTGATTCTGGGCCCCCTCTGCTTTTTTGCCCTGGTTCTGGGCCCCCTCTGCTTTTTTGCCCTGGTTAGGGGTCCCCTCGGCCTTTTTGCCCTGGTTAGGGGTCCCCTCGGCCTTTTTACCCTGATTCTGGGCCCCCTCGGTCTTTCTGCCCTGGTTAGGAGTTCCCTCTGCCTTTTTACCCTGATTCTGAGCCCCCTCAGTATTTTTACCCTGGCTCTGGGCCCCCTCAGTATTTTTACCCTGGCTCTGGGCCCCCTCCACCTTTTTGCCCTGGTTCTGGGCCCTCTCTACCTTTTTGCCCTGGTTGGGAGCCCCTTCCACTTTTTTGCCCTGGTTCTGGGCCCCCTCAGCCTTTTTGCCCTGGTTGGGAGCCCCTTCCAATTTTTTGCCCTGGTTCAGGGCCCCCTCGGCCTTTTTGCCCTGGTTCTGAGACCCCTCGGCCTTTTTGCCCTGGTTCTGGGCCCCCTCTGCCTTTTTGCCCTGGTTTTGGGCCCCCTCGGCCTTTTTGCCCTGGCTCTGGGCCCCCTCGGCCTTTTTGCCCTGGTTTGGGACCCCTTCAGCCTTTTTGCCCTGGTTTGGGACCCCTTCGGCCTTTTTGCCCTGGTTCTGGGCCCCCTCTGCCTTTTTGCCCTGGTTTGGGACCCCTTCAGCCTTTTTGCCCTGGTTTTGGGCCCCCTCGGCCTTTTTGCCCTGGCTCTGGGCCCCCTCGGCCTTTTTGCCCTGGTTTTGGGCCCCCTCACCCTTTTTGCCCTGGCTCTGGGCCCCCTCGGCCTTTTTGCCCTGGTTCTGAGCCCCCTCGGCCTTTTTGCCCTGGTTCGAGACCCCTTCAGTCTTTTTGCCCTGGTTCTGGGCCCCCTCGGCCTTTTTGCCCTGAGCAGTGCCGGTGGTTAGGGTACTGGCCTTAGAACCCACTGGGGGCACAACCACCATAGGCACCTCCTTGGGAGCGGTTTCCAAGATGGCAGACTTTGAGGCAAGAACCTGTATGGAATTCACTACAGAACTGACTGCTGGTTCCACCTTTGCCACTTTTTTCTCCTTCTTCTTTTTGTCCTTTGGGGAGGAGGCCAGCTTCTCTTGGGGCATGGCTGGTACCGTGGCTACAGGGGCAATGACCACGGGGGACTGGACGGGTGATGGAACCACAGCCACAGCAGGTGCCCGAACAGGTTCTTTGAGAAGGATGGTCACGTTTGGGGCCAGCTCATGGTCGGGTATCTTCCCATTGGGTTTCTCTTCCTTTTTCTTGGTCTTTCCTTTCTTCTCCACTGCTTTCTCCTTTTTTTTCTTCTCTACTTTCTGGTGGTGAGTTTTTGCCATCTCCTTGCGCTGGTTGGCTAGGGCTTCTTCATACGACGTCTCCTTCATTGAGAAGGTCGACACCAGGAAGATGCCAATGGCGGAAACAACCATGAATCCTCCAAAGACCACAACTCCCAAGGTTTGAGTGTCATAAATATCCATCCTGGCTTGCTTTCTTTTCACCTGCCAAACACATACACATAGATTACTTTTTGTAGAAATTGAGGCATTCAGTCACCAAACTTAAGGTTTCACTAATTCTTTCTTCAAACTAATAAATTCAGAGAAGAAACAAACATGCAATCTTTGATGTCACACATTAAAGATGCCCCTCTTTAGAAGTGAGCAATTTTTACCCATGATGTGATCAGTCCCTGTTAGTGCTGGGAGACACAAAGCAACAGCACAGAGAGAGCAGAATGCAGGTCTATATACCCAGGAGACTCAGAAGCCATGACCCCAACTCGAGACGTTCCCCACGGCAGGGGTCAAAGATGCACATAAGCACAAGTGTAGTTGGCTGTGAGTGATGGGGAGCACTGGGGACTGTGGCAAAAATGCCCACTTAAATTAAGGAGTAGGTACCACTCAGCCACAGCCGATTGCCTAGAAATGAGATCACGAGGTTGAAAGATCTTTTGATTTTTCGTACTAAGCCGGAAATCTTTTGTTTTCCTTATCTCAGTATGAAATTGACTGATTTGAAAAATACTATGTGTGCCAAACCAAACATGTCTGTAGGCTTTCAGCCGTGTGCACTTCGGCCAGCACGCCCCTGGAGTACCACCTCTACTCTGTGGCCTCTCCTTTCCCCAGTGCCAATAAACATAGCTACCCAGCATCAGACACAAAACAATAACCTTTGTATTACAATCCTAAAAAGCAACCAAGAATTTGGTGAGGGAAAATGGCCTTTTGCCAGCAATAGTTCGTGAAGAGTTATGGAACCTGCAATTTGCATGCTGGAAAACAGGAAGAATCAGTCTTGGGAAGCCCACCAGACTCCAGGTTTGGAATTTCACATCTGGAGGCTGCACAGGGAGAGGGGAGACAGTGTCACCAGGCCCTTTGTAGGGCAATACATCCCAAACCAAGAGGATGAACCCACCATTCGCACTGTCTATGGACCAAAGTCCAAAGGGTCAGAGACTGCCAGATCCATACCTTCCCAGCTGACAGTCCAGGCCACGATTCACTTGAGTTCACTGAGAAACTCCAAGAGGTGTATTTATTTGGACACACTCAACTTTTAACTAATATTGATGCTCACATCAATCCCCAGTCCCCTGACCTGGAGAGAGTGAGAAACAGTCCAGCTCCTTTAAAGAGGATCATCAACAGAATGACTGAACAGAAGGCGAGTGTGAGAAAGGGTGAGTAAGGGGAGGCAGGAAGGAACAGAAGAGGAGGGGAAGAAGTGAACAGGCCTCCCCCAGCATTGCCCCCCCAAAGTCTTTGGACATAGTGGGAGGCTGGGTCCAGGCTGGTTAGTGGATTAGACACTAAGATTCCCATTCCTCTTCAGTGGCTGTTAGGGAGAGAAATAGTGGGAATTTCTATAAACAACAATCAAAAATCCAAATTTTGTCATTAGGACACATTAAAGAAGGGAGGTTGTTTTAAATACCTTGGCATCATATTCTGAGAAAATCGCTCTCATCACAGAATAAACACATGATTTCTTTATGCCTTTGCAATAAGACCCTTGCAGGAAGAGGGTTTAATACACTCATGACAAAAACTTCCCAGCACATGCTGTCCACGGTGAGAACCCCATCATTCCCCCACAGAACATCCCCCTGGTTTGGGCCAGACCAAGTCACAACTTTCCATTTTGGTTGTAACCTCTGCAAATAAAGTCTCAAGTGAGTTCACTGAGGCATCTGAATCCTGGGCAAGGAGGCATTTATATTTCCACGTGGATTCTGACCTCTGGCCATGGGCAGTGACAGTGTGATCCACAGCCAGGGTGCTGTCATACACCACAATCCAAGGAGGCTGTCACAAATTAGCCTTTCCAGGAACACAATCGCAAGCTAGGTGCCAAAAGCAGACTGCAGCCTGCTCAGCCTGGGATGGATGCAGCGGGTGGGAGGGCAGGGACAAGCAGGTATGGAACGTTATCTGGTCAACCCCGTTTCTTGGTAGGCATCCACCACTGAAACTCCTCTGGGTCCTCACAAGGACCTCTCAGAACTTGGCCAACACGGACATGTCTAAGTACAAAATCTACATTATAATCACTATATTCAGTCTGTTCAGATGACAAAAAGCCTCTAAAACTCCCCTTCTCCAGAAGCAGACCAACACCAGGGGCCTGGGTCACCCTGGCTGAGGCTCTGTAAACCCTAAATAGCTTCCCAACAACTAAGCACTCAAGGGGTGGTCTCCGTGGAGCTGCAGTTGGCACTGGTCACCAGACCCTGCCGCAGTGAACGGCCATCTACAAAGCAGGGCCTGTTTGCCTCCGAGGACTGTGGAGCTGTTTGCACCCTTGTGGTTTCCAACTTTCAAACTCCAGCAGAAAAGCCAAGGTTAGAAGATCAGCCTTTAATCATACTCAACATAGGCAAACACAAGACACAAAAATGTACTCTGTCAGGCGCACAGAATCGAGAAAAACAAAATTAGGAGAGTATTTTTCCTCTGCAGCACACACATATGTTTTAGAGCAGCACAAATGTGTCTTCCCAACTTCTGTAGAACAAGTTGCCTTAAAAAAGAAATTACATCCCCACCACTAATTCCTGAGTAAGAATTTTTAACAAGAAATCTTTCATAGGAAAATGAAAAGCCCCAGTCTTAAGTAGCAATACAACAAAACATTTAAAGCTGGGGCAATATCACCACAGACAGCAAAGAAATCAAAATGAAAAACCACCTTTCTGTGGTTTTGCAGAGTCAGCTTAGGTGGGAAAACATCATCCTGGGAGACCCCTGACTCAGAGAAGTCATAAAGCCAGTGATATCTCTTGAACATCTTCTCAAGAGCATTCCTAGTGCTTCACTAACAGGCCCTCCAGTGGGAACCTCCCCCAGGACTTTCTGCCAGGGCCATGCCCAGGGGGGCACAGAATTAGGCCAGATGCATGCCCACCTGTACCCTATATGGTCTGATCACAGGGAACCTATATTCTGTCAATTCTAGAAACTTTTGTGAAATACGTACTTTTACTCACTTTACTGCTAGTATGCTCAGAATGAAAGGCAAAAAGACAAAGGCCCCAAGAGAGGAGGATGCAGGAGGCCAGCCAGAGGCTCGGGGCCACTCCTGCACTGGGCTAACTGAAACTCACTGGCCCACCGCTCAGGTCCCAAGGGAATGGCTTTTCTTCTGTTCTTAGGATTTGGGGAACAAAAGCAATGGAAGACCCAAACTTTTTAGACATGGAATAAATACACCTGCTAACTCACATGGCCTGACCATTTGGCAGATGGGATTTGGGTAGGTTTTGTGAAAGGACCCTCAATTGCATTCCTGGGGCTTGGTATCATCACTAACCAGCTACTCCACCGTGGACCACATGGGATGCTTGCATAGGCCATGGGGTCAGAGTGAACAAGCCTCCAGATCGATTTCCTGGGCACAAGGTGACTTACCAGGAAGGTACAGGACTAAGACTGAGTAACAATAAAACAGAGACCCTAACACATCTGGCTGCATCAGAACTGACATCATCTTATTTTAAAAAATATTATGAAATAGTTCAAATGTACAAAAGAATAAGAAGAAAAATATGAACACCCATTTACCCACCATCCAGGTTTATCAAATCTTAACATTTTGCCATATTTACTTGAAATATTTTATATTTGTATATATGTATATGTATCACCGCTCTTCCAGAAAGAACCAACACCCTGAACAGGTCAATTACCAATTACACATGTTTATGCTTAGATCACAAATGTGTATCTCCACAAACAAAATATATCACTGCTTTGTGTGCTGGAAACACTATGTAAGTGACACTACTCTGGGTGTTATTTGACAACATTTTTTGACTAAACTCTTTTTTGGGATTTACTCGTATATATACACACAGCTTTTTGGTTCATTCATTTAAACTCCTATATCATGTAACTAGATCACAGAGTATTATCCATACACCTACGCATTTAGATTTTTTAAATGTATGCTATTCACAGAAAGCTATAGTGTGACATGTCTACCATAGAGTGAAAAATCTCCTTTACACCCCTGAACCCGGCCACCCAACTGGAGACAACCATTGTGACAAAGTCATTTTACTGTGTAGAAGTTAGTTTCTTCTAAAAAACTTTAGTGCTTTTTGAAGTTAGGTTTTCAACCACCAGGAATTTACAATGATAAATGTCAGGAAATAGTGATATAACTTTTCCCCATCAGTTTAATTACCCAGCACCATTTCCTGACTGGTCTCTCCCTTCCCCTCAGACTTGCATGGCTGTCTCGGTGCCATCGAGTGGATCTGTTTCGGATTCTATACTTTTTTCTACTGTATTTATTTATGCCCTTCATCAATACCACACGTTTGGCCTATGCATCCCCTCCAAAATTTCTACTGGGGTTTTTATTTGAGTCAACCTGAACTTACAGTTGAACACAAGGAGGACTGACATTTCTAACTATAGAAGCTTCCTGTCAATGAACACAATACGCTATAGCACTAATTGATTTAAATGTTTCTTTTACACGTTTGGAAAGTTTATATAATTTTCTCAACAAAAGTCTTAAATGCCTTTTTGTTGGTGGTGGTAAGATTACTGCTTGTTTTTAATATGCTGGAAAAAAGATCTTTTGCAAACTACTTTCTCTATTACCTACCTATTTATAATCAGCAAAGTTATTCATTTTTGCGTATCATTTACCTAGCTATTATTCTAAGCTTTTGTCAAATCTAAGAGTTTGTAGATTCTCACTGATTTTCTTGGTAAAAAATCATCTGAAGGAAAAAAAAAAAAAAAAGACTTGTTTCTTGCTTTCTAAACCTTATTATCAGGGCTGGTTAGTTAGCTCACTTGGTGAGAGCATGCGGTTGATAACATTTAGGTCCAGGATTCAATCCCAGTACCAGCCAGCTGCCCAAAACAAAACAAAAAAACCTATTATCTCATTTCTTTCTCTTGGCTTAACAGAGCTGGCTGAGAACTCCCAGACAGCGTTGGGGGGAGGCAGGGGGCTGCCTTGCGGTATTCCTA